CTCTATGTGGGCTCTTCTTGAGGTAGATGTAGAGGTTATGGATGGGGGAAAGCTGACAGAGCCAGGCTCTGGCAATTCCTATTGCCACTAAAATCCCTTGGAGGCTGCTGGCCTCCTAGGATAAACCTTCCTCTGAGGATTTGGATGAACCTTCTACTGGCTGTGAAACCTGCTGGGGTATTAATCTGCTGCTCAGCTGGCCTGGCACTGAGGGAGGCAAAATGGACTCAGAAACTCTTTTCCAATGTGTTAAACAACATTTAACTACTGCAATTAGTTAAATGAGAGTAGTCACTTTTCCACAGGACTCCTGTGTATTCTGTGCTGTGGATGGATAATGCTTCGTTGAAAAGCACTGTTAGCAGTGTTTTGTGTTATCTCATCATTCAAGCCTCAATTTGTACATACTACATGGTATTTGAACTCTGCTGTGAAGACTGAGATTGTAGTTTACTTAAAGCTAATGATACACTGTGATATTTAGGAGCTTCACAACAATAGGGAGTGAACCTTTACCAGTCCTCTGAAAGAAGATGGAGTGCCCCCATTTTTCACAGGCAAAGCAGAGGCATAGTCAGAAGTAATTGCTCGTTTCTGGTGTCCAGTTTGAGAATCCAAGGAGCTTCCATCAGATAGCGCTTCCCTGTCGAGAAGCACCTTCTGTCAAGGGCAGCACCTCCTGGCCTCAGCTCAGATGGTAGTGCACTTCCATATCTCCTGCTCCTGATTTCATTGAACGGGGGCCCAAGGAAATGAGAAGAACAACAGGAAATAAACGGTTGCTTCTGAAACATTTGCTCTGAGGGATTTCCCCTGCCTCTCTCATTACACTCCCCCTCGCTCTGCAACAAAGAAAACGGACACTAATAACAATTGCTGTATATCACAGCCTTCCCATCTGTCTCCTGGCTCCTCGCCCCATTGCGTTCCTCCGGGCAGTCCTGTTTCTGCACTCCTTACTGCCTGAGCTATTTCCTCTCTCGTGTCACAGACTGGGAAGGGTGGTCGTGATCTGATGAGGAGGGAGGGGGGAAAGCTCAGCCCATTCCCTTTTTCCAATTAACACTGTTGCTGCCTTTGCCCTTGGGCCCGTTCACACTGTGGGAAAGGTGTGTACTTGATTTGGCAAGGAGTTATGAGAAGCTCAGTTACATTCAGTGATGGAAACTTCAGGGAGTTTGGCACCTAAAATCAAAACCCCCACTCAGCATTCTTGAACTTTGATTTTTCAACAATGATAACTTGGGTAAATTTGAGAAAACTTTTAATGAGACAAATCACATCATTGACTCCAAGCTATCTGTTCAGAAGTATGAAAAAGCTAGATCTGTCCAAAAAAAGGCACACCAAAGAGGTTTTCAATGTGGACAAAGCATTTTTTTCCCCTCTAAGATGGTCCCCAGGAACAGGAGACTTGCTCTAGTTACAATTCTCCAATTCCGCCTGAATTGGATATTCAATCTGGAAAATGTTGGCTTAAATATTTGAAGGTTATCTTCAAGGGGAAACGGCAGTTTGTCTCAGAAGTGATGGGCCGCATTAACAGGCAGTGAGACTAGTCTTGCCCGTGGTGCTATGAACCTGTGGATGGCCGTTCCACGCTGGGGCAAGGGTTGTGGAGTCTAACTTTCCCAAGAACAATTAGCAGGATAACTGTTGTGAAGCCTTAATTACAGAGATGTTCATAAAATTTAATCATACTTGACAACTTGTCACACGTCATATCTCGTCAAGATCTTTCCTTCCCCTGTAAATCTACTGCCTAATTTAATTAACTGAAATTTATGAGCTAGATATCGCACATGGAGATACAGACAAGAAACTAAATACAGATAGGAGTGAGTGGTATAAATATCTGTGAGTGTTACAAACATACTGAGATTTCTGTCCTACTTTTCAGATAGGAGAAGCTGTACTTGGCACTCATCTATATTCATTGTGCATAGGTGGTCGTGGACGCTCTGTGAAAACATCTGAAGCAAACGTATAAAAATAATTGTGCAGAAGTGTTGCTACATAATGAAATGTCATGTTGCAGTGCCGTTTTATTGCTAAGGACATAACTGAAATTATCACTTATGCCCTATGACAATTACTGGCTTCAAGTTTGCTTTTTTTCCCATTTAGATATGTTGTTTACATATCTGGGTACTGCTTCAGTTTGCAGTGCTTGTTTCACCCTAACAGTAGTTTAGGCAACTGTGCAGGGAAGCTGTGCAGCATTTTGTGTTTTAGAAATTCTATGTTAATTTTGAAAAGCCAACTCTCATTTATGTACAGTGAGTGAAATTTTTCATATGAATATAGCAGGAAGCAGCTTTAAAAAAGTGTGTTGACTTTTTATGAGTCATTATGATAGCAATTGCACTGACTGTGCAGGATAGGAAGAGTAAAGTTACTATTTTACTTTTTCCTTAAAAGTTCCTTGAGTTTCCTTGAGTTCTTGAAGGTGATTCCTTACTTTTCCAGTTTAGCTGGGCCTTTTCTAGAAAGTGCAAAAGTAGAAGCGTGTGTGTTCTTATTCTCTCAGTGAGTCACAGTTTCATCTCCTCCCCCCCATCTCGCCCACACACTGATTTCTGATTTTCTTCTTAATTTTAAATAATCTGAGAGAGGGGATGTAAAATCTGGAGATGACTACTAAAAACATAAAATATATTTATTACAATCCTATTATTAGTTGGTCTAATTTCTACTGTTCTTCTGTTGGAAATCATGGTTATTTGCAGAATGCCAAACAAACCAGCTATTAAATTATCATGTCAAAATCCATGACTGGGCCTTTCCAAATGTCAGCGTCCAGTATTTTTCTAGCTTCAGAGCTCATCTGTCATCACCCTTTAGCCCACATTTCTTAAAGGGAATTACGGGCATGTTAATTAAAGCAAATGAAGTTACAGGATGCAGGTGGCTAGTCCCACACCTGCTTGCTGGTAATGATCCTTGGCATGTGAGAATAAACATTTCTTTTTTTTCTTCAGGTGATAATGAGAAAGAGAGAAAGAAAGAGATTAGAATCTGTGAAGCTGTAATTATGCTTGATTTGTCAGGAGATGAAAACTGCATTGTGAGTTACATTCCTAATTAGAATAGGATTGGTTTGGTTTGTCCATTCCTGTAATTTTTTTTTTTCCCCTAGCGGATTTTTCTGATTCATCCTGGCTGACACTGGGTGATATCATACATCACCCCCAAGGCAATGCTTTTTGAAACGTTATGCTGTTAACAATAAGAACAGAGAGCCCATAATTACCCAGCTATATGCAGACTTCTCCTGTTTGGAGAAAATCTGTAGCACTGACAATCAAGAGAACAAGTTAAGCCCTCGATTTACAAATGGTTTGGCTTATAACTTGGTAGATCTTAGCCTAAAATCATGTCTGTATTTCTAAGAGGTAAGGAAAAAATATTCTAATAGTAGGGCATGTCTGCACAGCATTTGCCCTTCTGTGTTCTCATCGTGCTTCCTGTATGACAGTAACTGTCAGAGGCGGCTTAAGTTAAATGAAGGCTCGAGCTCCCTAATGTGAAGGACTCATGCATTTCCTGATTTCTCTTTGTTGTGTCCTTCAAATAGATATGTCCTTCCTGCTCCAGCACTGCCTGCTGTTGCCCATCGCCTGTTTTATCCTGTGTCCTTAGATGTGTGTGGGAAACTTGTATTGATGCAGTGAGCTGAAGGGACCGGTGGCAGCTTGTTATGGAATAAGAGCTAGGTTCTTGGATCCGTCCGTTGCTGTTCAGAGAATGGTCTTACACTGAAAAATCACTAGTGAACTTTAAAAATATTGTTTATTTTGGAGACCAAAGAACAACTGCCATGGAAGTGTTGATTACCAGTGCCCGTGGTTACCATTACAGACTCAGGGTAAAGTTCCACACTAAATCATGCTGCTATCCTTAACTTAAAATCATCCAGTGATTTCAATTTTGGTATTATTATTAGTAAAATCAGTGGAATTACTTTGGATTTACACAGCTGAAGATACCAGAATTTGGCTTATCCCTATGAGGTTTTATAAGCCAGTAGACTCTAGAAGAAACTTACAGTGAGACGTTCATTTTCTTCCACTGTTTCTGTCGGCCTGAAACCAGGGAGTAATTATGTGTTTTATCATCCAGCGGGGCTCAAAGAACTCGTGGGTGCAGCTTCACGTCACAGGAAAACATGTGGGTTTCCCCTAGAAGGTTAGGCTGTGGAGTTTAAAAAAAGTCACTAGGAAGGCTGAAATATCAGGTTCCCCCCAGCACTTGGGGACAGATAGTCAATGTTTTGCTCTTTGCATTCTCACTGTAGTGTGTGTGTGCGCTGTGAGGACAGAGAGGGCTTGGTTTGCATGGGTGCTGGAGGAAGAAGCACAGCCCAATAGCTTAATCTATTCGTGTTGTTTAGTGGAGCTATTTTCCTCTGTCTCTAGAGTTTTGTTTTTAATTTGGTGGGCATTTCTGACTTCCTGGCTTCTGCATACTATACCCATGTGTATGTCAAATGCTGTTAGTGGCTATCAGTGGGAGCTTTGTATACTGAATGTCTGGGTCTGTCTTGCAGCTAGATGATTCAAGCCTGCGGCTCCTTTCCAAATAAAGAATCAGCAAATAACCATTATGTCAGGTCATGTTTCTGACCTATTGCAGGCAAATGATTTGAAATGGCCATGTGACAGCCTGCTCCTGGAGTTGCTACGTTTTAGTAGAAGAGAAGAGTGAGGCAGAGTAAATTAGTCCTTTTATTTCCAGCAGTTCCGTGCTACCTCAGAAGCAGAAGGTCTGAGTAAAGAGAAGAACCACCCAAATTATAACCTAAGATTCATCAAGCATCTTAGGAAAAAATGGCTTGCTATTTTTACAGCTTTCTGGACACCTGGGGGGAAAGAGGGACTACGCTACAAGAACACTACTCTACAAAAGCACAGCAGATCCCTCTGACATCTCACAGGCATAGGGACAAGAGCAGCGATTTACTAGTAGACTAGTTTGGTCTTTGGAAGAACCTGAACATCTTTCCCACTTCTCATTCCACTGTCCGACTGTCTTCTGGTGGGCAAAGCTGTCCTGGCTCAGCACACTGCCAGTTCTGAATGTGTTGCCTGTGCTGTTGATACTACTGGTACTGAAAGTTTGCTGTCCCTC